CCCTGTTCTCAGTTCCTGTTTCCTGCAAGTCTTCCGAATTGATTCATATCTTTTAATGGGTCTCCCGATTTAATTCCGATTTGAAGATTCGGCTGCCGAATCAGGCCGAATCTCCTCTGAATTGAATTGGCTACCAAAGCTTTGCACAGCCCTACTGTGCAGTGCCAGCCCCGCCCCACTGTCTCCCTCACTGTGGAGGTCGCGCTCTGCCCCCCTCTCCCCTTCCCCACAACAGACATACTGGCTGGATGCTGCTCTCCAAGCTGCGGGACTGCACTCCTGGCCATGTGCATGCTGCAGCTGTGCTCGTGCATGTGGCATTTTATTGGTGATATTATTGGCCACATCAGCCAAAAAAAATGCTGATTGGCGATCATATTGTATTGGCACTGATAAAAGGAAAATTGACATTGACTGATGCATCAGTGCACCTCTAGATTCTAGTGCTCAGAGGTCAGGGCTCGTAGGATCAGCAGGAAATACTGGCAGGATTCTCAGGGAGCCAGATTGTATTCAGGGTAAGAAAACCTACTTGTTTTTTTTTGTTCTGCCTTTAAACTTGATGGTCAGTTTTTGTTTAATTCCTTTCTCCTATATAATAAATCATTTTGTTGTTTTGTTTCCTTACCGATTGCCTGTGGTAAAGCATGATCTCAGGGCAAGTGGTATTCCAGGTTAGCCCATTCTATAGAAAGGGGGACCTAAAATTCTTTCACAACTGAAGGAGAAACTGTCTGGAGCTGGTAAAGATTCCATTGCAGCAACTGCGAGGCCTAGTAGAATGTCAGTGGATCAAGGTATCCCAGGGAAAACCTTGGTCAGCAGGATAGCGGGGGGAGAAACTTGGGGCTCTAGGGATACCCCATGGATGGGTTTGTGATTACCATTATGCAGTAGATAAAGACACTATGAATCTGTCCTTTAACAGAGTGCATTACATCTAAATACATTTACAAATGCTGAGAACTTGCAAAGGTAGGAAAAAATATTCAAAATACCCCAGAAGAAACTAGTGGATGTATAAAAGCGAGTAGTTCACCAACCCAATGGGCATTAATAGTATTTATTTTTTCATAATCAAGTTTATGTTCAAGTAAGTATAGATTTTTATTTATACATGCATCTGTATCACTTAAGTGACGTAATTCAAAAGTCTGTTTTTATCCAGAAAAATCTACAAACCTTATAAAATACAGATTGGCTACTGTGTTATAAGCCACTGCCTCACATGGGGTCTAATCAAATAATGAACAAAACTAGTGAAGCACGTGGGAAATGTGTGTCAGTATCTGCATTAATGGGTCTGAATCTACTGGGTTGTGCTGATTTAAGCTTCTGTACACGTGAATTCTGATGGGTAACATAACCACAGTTCTTTAGAAAGTGCTACACACTCATGTGACAAAACCAAACAAGGTGTGCATTGAAACAGCCAGTAAATATAACAAAAAAATTCACCTTTAACCTTCAGTCCTTTTCACGAATATAAATTAGCATTGTTCCTGGCCTTTTTAAGTACAGTAAATTTCCTTGAATATACCTGGGGAGCATTCCTGAATTACTGACATAAAACTGAAAGTACATTTTGACAACATACAGCTACTACTATTTGTGAAATTACGGTATGCTTCATGGAAAACGAGCATGTTTTTAGAAGTCAGTATTAGAAAAAAAGCTTATATTTTAAAACAAATCTTACTCAAATAGTTACTGTACAAAGCCAGCTTCCAACTGAACCTATAATCTTGTTAAGAAAAGCCCAGGTCAATATATCTGTTTCTGAGTTTTAAACACAACTGTCAAACTATTTTTAAACATTTGAGGTGACGCAAATATTCAGGGAAAAGGTTATAGAACCCTTAAACATTCCAAAATTACATATAGTTCACTAGAACAGGATCAACCCAGTACATTATTATAAGAATTTGACCTAGCCACCACATTACAAGTCACCTGAATGTACTGTATAAAATTCCTGGTTTGCATGTGAACTCCATTGTGGAATATCAAGTCATTCATAATGGCAAACTGACTTACTCGTTCATGCCAACTTAGATAGCACTGTAATTGGAAGAAAGTTAACTTATTGCTTGATAAAGGAACTTGGGGATTAGTTCTGATCCACAAGAAAGAAGAAATCTGTAAAAAGGGCAAAGGTAGTACAGAGTAAGACAGGTCAGTGTCCCTCTTCTGAATTCACTCAACAGTTTCAAGGGCTCTTTTTCTCTTAACCTAAGCAGAGACGAACAGAACTAAACTAAGCAGGCCACGAACAGAAAAGCCTTTTTTTGTTGTTTTTTGATTGGGTGTCAATGATCAACTCATTTGTAATCATGTTGCTTTTCTTTAAAAAAAGAAAGGTGTAGCCCCCTTTTTGCTTGCCCACATGTTTAGGAGGTTTGTGATGCCAAAAGATGAAGGGACATAAAACAAAATAAAAGCCACACTGAAAGTCTTGATCTGAATCCATCAACTGATGCACGAGTGAGGGATTCAAACTACTTGTCTGTCAGGAGAGGGAATTTTTGCTTAATTCAAGTTTAACATTCTCCTCCCAA